CAAAGCCTAGAAACTTCCTCCAGCACAACAATGATTCCCCTCCCAAATACCATGCCCCCCTCCCCGTTTCAATGGCAGCCGAAGCAATAGCAAAGCGGAGGCAAAGCGGAGGCTGACACAAATCCAATATATTTATATAGCTTATTATCATTGTACCTTATTTATTTGACTATCACTATTTATTCCTTCACTTTCAATGAACTATACAAAATATTGGGATCGTTTATATTATAACAATTCATTACATCATCTTCAATCTATCTAATAATAATATATCTTTATATTATATTCAATATCATTCTATTATTTTTGTATTGGTAGCATTCTCTAGTATCTTTCATTTCCATGTTTTTTTATCTAACCATTGATAAAATAAATCAATGTCTTACAAAATTGTTTATCTTCTTGTTCTCTAATTTCAAATGTCAATTTACTCATTTCTTCACATTCCATTATTTTGTAAATAACTTCCTCCTGCATTGGTATTTTCTCATTTTTCCAATTTTTAGCAAATACAATTCTAGCTACCATTAACACATTTACAGTCAAATAATTCAATTCTCTGTTGTATGTTTCCAGTATAATTTCCAATAAAAAGATTTTCGGTTTAAAGTCTATATGTTTTTGTATCATTTTTCCCCGGGATTAAAATTCCCTGGAAGTAGATTCAGATTGGGTTTAAGAGGGAACTATCAGGGAGGGGAGGAAGAGGGAAAGGAAGGAAGAAGAAGGGAAGGAGAAGGGAAAGGAAGGAAGAGGAAAGGAAAGGGGAAATTACTATCACTGGTGGTATAACCATTACTTACAACCATTCATTTAGTGACCAAAATTACAATAGCGCAGAAAAAGTGACTTATGACCATTGCATCTCTGTGGTCATGTGATCAAAATTCGGGAACTCGGCAACTGTCTCATATTTATGACGGTTGCAGTGTCCTGGAATCACGTGATCCCCTTTTGCAACTTTCTGACAAGCAAAGTCAATGGGGAAGCCACTTTAACAATTGCAGTGATTCACTTAACAAATGTGTCGAGAAAGGTCATAAAATGGAGCAAATCTCAACTGTCTTGCTTAGCAATGTAAATTTTGGGCCGGTTGTGGTTGTAAGTCAAGGCCTTACCTGTACTCATATGAATGCATTAAACTCAACATTCTTGTCTTAGAAGCAAGAAAAGTGAGGGGACTCTTCCTGTTTGGGGCAAAATTGAAGGAAAGTCAAATGAATAGATGCTGTTTCTGATATATTAATTATCTTCCCACTTTTCTTTCTTTCTCTGCAGGTGCTTTATACTCCAGAAAATTCACCATTGACGGAGAACAGATTTCCTTACAAGTCCAGGATACGCCGTTTGTTTCTCTGGAGGTATAAAGAGTAATTCCAAATAGCATTTGATCTCTTAACCAGGGCAGCCAAAGTGTCCACAGGATGTGGCCAAAATACAGGTAGTCCTCAACTTACAACAGTTCATTTTAGTGACCGAAATTACAACAGCACTGAAAAAAGTGAGATATGACCGTTTTTCACACTTACAGCCATTGCAAAATTCCCATGGTCATGTGATCAAAAGTCAGACGCTTGGCAACTGACTCATATTTATGACAGATGCAGTTACCCAGGGCTGTGAAAATATCTACAGACCCCTCACATCCTGGACATAAATTGTTTCAACTTCTACCCTCAAAACGACGCTATAGGGCACTGCACACCAGAACAACTAGGCACAAGGGCAGTTTTTTCCCTAATGCCATCACTCTGCTAAACAACTACTATATTTTTCGGACTATAAGATGCACCAGAGTATAAGATGCACCAGA